TTTTGTTACCAACAAATAATTATTCACTGAGTCTGTTAGTTCTTCGAGTATCTTTTTTCATTTTTTATTGTTTGTTTTGTATCCATGCTTTTCATGTACTGCAGAGAACTGATGAGTGTTTCAATATTTGAATAAATAACGCAAAACACGACAGAGAAATTAACTCAGAATTTTTTTAATAATTTTAATAAAACAATATTCGTTTTTTGTTCTTCTTTTATACTCTGATTTCACGACTAAGTTAATTGCTGAAAAACAAAAATTACAGCTAGCAGATTGATTGATCCTTTCTTTATGAGATAGGTGGATTTTTTTATTTATTGATTTACGTACAATCGGATATCAACGCAACCACACTCACACTTTAGTTTGAAAGCAGCTAAAAGAATAATATTGGTATTTTTGAAGCAAAAATATAGCTCAGAATACTAGTCATTCTTGTGTCTTTGAGTATAACTTTTTATGAAGTTGTCCGACTGCGCCAATGTATCAAATAGAAGTTAAGGAAATTGTGTCGTATCAATACCAAGCTGCCTGGCGTAATTATGCCCATAATAGACTAAAAGTTCCTCTCCAACAGCGATATGCCGAATTGCTATGTAAAAAGGTTCGCCATTATCTATACAAACAACATTATATAAGTAGTTTCATCGAAAACCATGCATGTATGTTATCTTACACACAATTAACATTAGATTTCGTTGATTAACAGTATTTGGACAGTTTATAAATCGAAGCCAATTCGAATTGTTGGGCTGAGATGCATCGATGTAATATTTTGTGTTACCCGAGTTATCTTTAATCTATGCAAACATAAAAGATAAGGTATCGAGCTGCTTCCATTCTTACACTCCAAGCATAGCCACTTGTTCTTCCAATGAGGCTATCATTGTGTTTGTAGCCACCGTAAGGACCAAAATAAGTGCCGTATGGAATGGGACGAGCGGCAAATGCTCCTAGACCCTGATGAAAATAAACTTCATTTTTACTTACGCAATACCATTTATCATATGTTACTTACAGCATTCGGAAGACTACTTTTAGCAATGAAGACTGTGCCAAGTGGAGTAGTTGCGAGAGAATAAGAATTTGGATCGGTAAGGGAAGGATAAATTACCTAAATATTCTATGCAATGATATGTGTCGAAGTAATTTTATATCGACAATGGCAAAAAAATAACTTTGAAGATTTAAGATCAGAGAATATAAAGTATTATATGCCTTATGAAGAGAAAACGGAAACAAAAAGTAGAAATATTTTGAGTCTTTTTGGATTAATGATATATATTTATGGATCTTCTACTCTTTCAACTTTTTTTTATGGCTCTTCCATAGTCTTTTGAGAAGATATTTAAGCCCATACTCTTCGTACAAAGAATGCAGCCGATGGCATGAACTCGTCGATGTAAGCGATAATCAACTGAACTACGCCAGTATTTCTTTCTTTGATTTGCCACACCAGTGTTTGCAATATGCATAGAAGCAACAATAGTGTAAAGTAGACTTCAAAACAACTCTCGAACTACTAGGAAGGATCTATTTAGTGTAAAATTCTTAAAATTTTCTGCAAAATCATTATTAAATACCCCGATAAGTAAGCTGCTGATATCTGAATTTTTACTCTAATACGTTTTCTCCTTATGGCTAAAGATAGTACTCGATACTCAAATATAGAGATTCTCATTTACAGTATCTATTGCAAATAACTTGCGTGTCAAAACTAATTTATTTTCTTTGTAGACATCAATCTTAACTTTGCCACATATGGTTCTACAGAAAGAAAACAGTATTATAGTATTAGTCGCTATTGGTAAATAATTCTTTAGAAGACAGTTCTTCGAAAAAAAAGTCATTGGAAAACAACATTTTTCACGTGAAACCTTCCAGAATAGGGGTATCAGCGTTCCTGCTTCATCTTCTTGTTTCTAAGGAACGAGAACGCATCTGATACTAGATAATTAGTCTAGTACAGTTTCAACATATCTGGAGTTCTATACATGTTTGATTCACTTTTTACATTAGAGTGTTACTCATTCCCTACTCCGAAGAAAAAAACGCAAATTAACACACCCAGTTCGCAAAGAAACTATGAGACCAGATTACTAATATTTATTCCTTACTTAAGACGGCTTTCTTACTTGTGCATCAGGAATATGAGTTAATTTATATGCACTCTTGAATTTGGATGAAATTTCTCCAGTCTCTTTGCAATCGTTAGCGGATAGCAGAAAGAAAAATGCACACTGAACAACTGTAAAAAATCGATGAGCCATAAAATACTCCACTGCGTAACAACAATTTGATCACCTCTTTTCGAAAATGTAAATACTTTGTAATGAACAAGAGAACGATAAAATTTGCTATTGATTGTGTTCGCAATGATGATTTGTTCTATTTGTAGAAAAATAAAACCGATAGTAATATAATAGCAAATATATGATTATTAATAATAATAATGGCAACGTAGATTATAAAAAAAACAATGATTAAGTTGAAGATCAATAACAAAAAAAAATAGAAGAAAAGAAAAGTGAAACAACACAAAACTAGTTGCATCGAAAATCAATGATGACTTAGTAATGATTGAAAGAAAAAACGAGATGAAGAGAGAATCAAACAATCAATATTACGTATAATCCAATGTTTAGCGGTGATGTACGCCATCTTTTGACGCTCACCGAAGTACAAACAATCATATCACCGTAGTGTGATTTTGAATGGTGAGTTCCCGAAAGAAACAACGCTGTATATTTGGAACCAGTATACTTGATTTCCTCCATCATTATCAAGATCTCAAGAAAGTGCTTCTACACACTACACAAAAATAGCTGAAAACATTAATAAAACCGGAAAAAGTGAAACCACCCTGTATAAGATTCGAACCCATGCCGCATCACATGTAATATACAAGCAGCTCGGTTGTGTGCATAGTCATCCTTTTTCTGTGCATCCTCTACTCTTTCTTCATATAGTCTATTAAAATGTTGTCCTTGCGAACATTCATAGTAATAATATCATGAAATGTGATGATATATGGGTATGGCCACCTAACACTGCTACCGGAGTGAAATTCCGTAACGTTTTTCGCTTATTTTGTTTTCTCGATAAATATCAGGCAGTAGCACGTGAAGAGTTGCGAGACGTCTTAAATTAAAGAGAAATGTCTTGTACATATTTTAAGATATTTTTCGCTTTTGGAACATTTGTCGTTTCCAAGATGTAACAAAAGAATTGAACACCACTTTTGAAAAAGTAATACTTTTCAGAATTGAAAAGTAGTTATCAGTTTTTTAATTATATCTTGGAAACGACAAACGTTCCAAAAGCGAAAAATATCTTAGAATATGTACAAGACTTTTCTCTTTTATTTAAGACGTCTCGCAACTCGTTACGTGCTACTGCCTGATATTTATCGAGGAAACAAAATAAGCGAAAAACGTTACGGAATTTCACTCCGGTAGCAGAGTTAGCTGGCCATACCCATATATGACTGATATTTTAATATGTATGCCATTAGTTAATTAATTTAGTAACATGTAGTACACATTGAGGGTGTCGCTGTTCGTGCTACTTGTAGGTACCCTCTTGCATATTCTCGCTCACACTCATACCCATACCCGCAAGTAATAATATTTATCTAAATAAACGAATATTCATGCATATTCAAAACATAACATTAGAACAGAGGTAACTTGTACAAGTTTCAAATTTTTTATTTTGCAGCAAGTTTGAAACTTGTACGAAATACTTGTGTTGTAATGCTATGTTTCGAAAATCCATGAATATCCGTTTATTTAGATAAATATTACGACTTACTCGAACTTAAGCATTTCTTTTTTTTTTTTGAAAACATAATGAAAATTTTTCATAGATTCTATTAAATATGAGCGAAAATTGACCTTGATTATTCATCATCACCTCAAAGAAAATCATTATACAAATAGGTGACAGATAAAACAGTGCCAGTTCAGTACAGATCAAATCATGAAAAATCACGCATTTAAACGATAAATAAATGCGAATTTTATTTTTACTCTTTCGAATCCTTTATTGTGATAGAAGAGTGTTTTGGATACTACATGATCGATTAAACTGTATTATGTTAAGTATAGTTTAGACAGCAAAAGAGCGCTCCCCTAACTGTCTGAATAAAATAATCTGTAAAGATGAATAAAGAAGTGTTAAATGTATTAAAAATTCAAAGTAAAATACACAACTTTGAATTCGAAAGGCAAATATAAAATTGATTTGGCCAAAAATCTAAGATCAGTATTTGAAACAAGCCAATATCGATACTCTCGACTGTTTCAAATTGAGAATGATTGTTCATCAGTAAGTATTGTACGAAAGTAAATCATTTCAGACTAAAAAGGATGTTTTTCAGTGTTATCAGCAAGACAAAACAGAGTTTGAATACAACGGAGAAATGATAACTTTTTCAATGGAAATAATAACTCTAAATATGTTACACGAGGAAACTGGCAAGCGAGTATATGAATTTCATTTGTATCTATTAAGCGACGTTCAACAACTAAATGATGAATATTTTCTTGTGGAATAGACATCATAGAGCTAACAGCTAAAATTAAAATAGATAATTAGTTTGTGCTTCTTTTTTATAAGAACTTAGAGAAAAGATCTTTATGTGTATCGATATTGAGAATTAATTTAGAGATTCGTCGTGATAATTGCATATTAATTGGTAAACAAGTTGTAAGTTGATGAACTCGACTAAATTTTTTATTTATATCCAACATTTCATCATTCGTTGTAATATTAACATGTTTGATATAATAGGAATATTTAACATCTGATGTAACTTTTATATTATATCTGCCGTTGATTATAGGTACTTTTCGTTTATCTTATCGATTTGATGGCGATGGGACTGAAAATGTATATATCCATCTAACATTTTCATTTTCATAAAAAACACTCTTCATTGGCCATCGAATAAAATCTTCAACTAGAGTTTTATTATTAATTCGATAAGTCATTATCTAATCAAATTTATCAAGATGAGGCACATGTTTAATTAACATAGATTCCATTTTCAATTCATGAACAAATCTTGAATCAAGTGTATCACGAATACTTAATGTTAATTTACGAAGATTTGGCATATGAATAAGTATAGATTCAATATCTTCAAGATTTATATCAGTAGAACTCTCCAATAATGAAAAATCGATGATCAATCAAGAACACAATGCTTGACATTGAGATCGATAACATGCTGAAACAAATATAAATCATGCAAATGTCTTTCGTTTGGCAAACATAATTCTTCGCGAAAAAAACCTTGTTCTGTAGTTTCATTCTACCAATAAAAAATATCTAAAATGAAAGATCTCGCACAAACTATAGTTATCTTCTCAGAAGATCGATCACCAAAGACATGATCTGCCGACTATTCTTTGTTGCTATTCTCACATGATTTTTTTGTTTTTCGTATTGTGGTTCTGTTAATTTAACATACTTATTCTCTAACATCTATATCAGAAACTGCACTATTTAGAACATTCACAAGCGTTTTAAAGCCGTTCAAATGTCAACGAAAGCTTTGAAATGTTCTAGAACAGTCGTAGTCTTGTCATTAAGCACTTTTCCTGTTGCTAATAAACTCTGAAAAAGTATTTCGACGCCTGTTGTCGTCCTTCACTAAAGTCTACAATAAGGAGGAAGAAGTCGCAAAACGTTGACTTGAAACTTACACTCATTTTGTGTTCTTCAAAAGCAGACAATAGTTGGCAAGAAAAAAGTTGCACAAAAGAAGAATTTTTTTTAGTCTAGCTTTCAAATTTTAGGAGACAATCATAAACTTGACTCTGTCAGTGATCGTTCGTCAACAAATGGACAAAGAAATGACCTGATGAAAATGTGGTTGTTTTCGTTTTGGATGTGTGAAAGTTAACACATATTATTCTTTATTTGTTGAAACAACTGCTATCTATTACTATTACACTATTGAAGCAAACTCATCAGATAAGCTAGCATTATGAAGCGTGAAATACAGATCTCATACGTACTCTCTGTTCATAGTAGCACTAAAAGTAAAATCAATAAAATTGATTACGTATAAAACGAGTGTTGATTGATGATGTGTCCTTAATATCGAAGCAAAAAAGAAACAGCAGTCGATGAATATATTCGTCGTAATAATTAGATTTGACTTAAAGAAATACAACTTAAACAATCCAAAAACAAAGAAATAACCTCAAACAATAAACTGAACAACATAACAGTTTGGATGTAAATCACACAGAAAACATTTTGTCCGGAGTAAAACATGAATATGAAAGTAGAATCTGAGAAAAAATATCAAATATTTTTGGCAACTGCTGATATTAAATATTTTAAATTATTTTATAATATCGTACTCTTTGTGGTCTATTCCGTAGGAGAAAACAATTCCAACAGGTGTATATTGAAACAAATACTACTCAAGAACAGTGTGCAAGTTTTTTTTTTGAAAACAGCTGTATATGAATTTTACAAAAGAGCTGAAGACTAACATGCGAATGATGTATGAGAAAATGTGTCTTAGAATGTCATATGATCAAATAAGTTTTATTCCCGTGAAGATTTTCTACTAAAAAGTTACATTATACTTACTTGATAGACGTGATTGATGCAATGGAACGATGAATGTTTCGATATTTGGTAGAAGTCCACTGAGTAATGCATATTAATCATCAATAGTTTGTAAGATAATATTAAAATGACGAAGACCTTGATGAGGTATTAAAGATCTATATAATCAAAGTCCATAGAATGGTTCACCAATAACTTCATGTAAAGTACACATTAGACTATGAAATAATAATTCACTGAATGTTGTATCAAATTTATTTATGCAATGATGTTCTGAAAAGGATTATGAGTTTTTCATTGTTTTCTTTTTACATTTGTTGATTAAAATTATCGAATAATTTTATATTAAAATAATGAAGAATATTGTTTACTATTATAAAAAGTAATTTCTCTTAATGATAAACTCACCTTTGGTGGTATCACATTTGAGAATAGTAGCATGAAGATATTCAAGTTTTGTAAAGTCTTCATAATGTCTAGCGATAATATCAAAATCAGTGAATGTACAATTGATTACAGTAAGATGTGTCAAAATAATGAATATTGATTGAATTATATTATTACGTAAAAAGAAAAAATAATGTCTATCTAAATAAAATCCATGTTCATTGTTTAATATTAATGATTTAGATCGAAGAGGATTATCTGAATTTAAAAATAACTTTAATAAATAATCACATTCATGAAATGACATTACACCAAGATAGATCTTTGTATAATAATCATGAATCGAATCGTGGAGATACGAATTTGATCTTTCAGACGTATAAAAGCAATGAAGAACACCATATACTGATAAATAACGGTAAATCATCAGGAGAATTTTATTTGGTAAATTGAGTAAACAAGTTACATTACTATGAAAACATTTCACAGATGAAATTTGATCAATAATATCATCAATCATACGTTCCATATCTTTATTGTAAGATTATTGGAAAAAGAATACAATACATATATGAATCAAATGAAAATTGAAATATTGCTTAGAATTTCTTTATGAGTAAATGTTCTCTCGTCAAATATGTTTGACTGATCTGCATACATGATGACCTTGATGCCATTCTATAATGAACATATGGAATACATATGATCAGTTATCATTGGACGAAAAAATAGATTTTATCAAGAGGTTAGTTGGTGATGAAAACATTACCCTTGACACTATATTTTCCGTGTAATCTTTTACATAATCATTATACAGAAACTTGATCAAAAAGAACTTTGAAATTTCGTATGGGATCGAACCAAAATTCTTCTCGTTTTCATAATTCGTTTTATGTCCATAAGCAACCACATATCATTCACTTAAATTTGATTTGATAAATACTGTTCATTTCTTCGATGTGATAAGACATGGTATACATATGACAAATATATAAGTCTTGTCATTTAGGATGTATTACACTTAAAGCCTTGATGACTTTTGTCTCTACATGTTCTTCATTAGTACTAAATCTCATTTCCTGATCCCATATGATTAGAGACAGTGTATACGCACAATGATCAAAAAATTATTGTGCAACAATATAATGCTTTCTTCATTATAGTGATTGTCATTCGACTTGAATGACAATTTTTACTATATGACCTATAAAATAAAAACTTTGCCAGTCGAACAAAGGATGTTTTTTTCCTTCCAATCAGTTGAGTGATTTTTAAAGACAAAGATAGAAATTGACATGGAACAATACAAAAAAAGAAGAAGAACAAGAATCAGAATAACAATGAAGCAACATATGGAAAAGGTTTATCTACTTGAGGCATGCAAACATGAGAATAATTATGAGATACAAAGCAGAAGCATATTACAAAGATGAGAAGAGAGCGAAAAACTTATGTTGAATCAGAAAAGTCAATTGATTTGTGAGCCTTTTCAATAGAATAGAAGAGTAAAAGATCAAAGACAAAACATTCTTCCGATAAATCTATCAGTATGAATTGAAACACTCTGATCATATTGTTATGGACCAATGTACCATTATGGTTGTGATCATAACTAGATAGAAATAACACATTGTACGAATATGATATGATAATAGTTAAACTTTATTGCAAAATAGAATAAAACAACGAGAAATTAAACGGACAAACGGCTAACGCTATTCTAAACTGTTCATATTTTGAAGAAAAACTACACGAATGATCAATTATCGTAGGATCTTAAAAAGTGGTCATCGATTTATTTCAAGAAGACTCAATCGTCGTCTGATATCCTCACTTTGTTACGTCTATATATTGATATCAAATACAACTTAAAACATACATCTAAAAGACATACAGCTGTTTACTGGTTCATACTTGAACAACTCCATATTAGATTAAAGAGTTTAGAGATGTGAACAAATGCAATGTGTACGTACCCATCGAAGAAAAAAGTGATGTAACGATTGTATTGGAGGCAAGCGTTGAACTTATAGCTGTTTCAGATGTCACTCTTGGTCTTATTGTTGTTGTAGTTGAAACTAAAATAAATCTCATGAATGTCATCAGTTCTTCATCTCTAAATCAATTACTCATTATATAATTTCTTCCACGAGACTACTAATCAGATTTAGAAGCGTTTGATAGGAATACATTGATGTGTATCGAATAGATTTTTCGTGTCAGTGGATTTTACTGGTATGATTTAGTGACTCATTGGATTTTTTTCTTTGGTGACTATTCATATATGTTAGAACGTTCCCAGTTCACTGATATATATGTATGACCGTTCTTGATATAGTGTGTAGAGTTGTTCTTCTTCAGCTTCTTTCTCTTTCATATAACTGAGTTACTATCTCTACTATCTTCCTTGCATTTCTCCCACATATAAATCAACTAGGAAAATTCACCTTAACGTTCAAATGATTTTTCTGCTTAAAAAGATGTCAATTCAAGTCGTTTATACTTTACAGCTATCCATGGTTCCTTCTGTCATAAAGATGAAATATTTCAGTTAATTAATAATGAATTTAGATTGGTGATAAATACAGTGCTAATAATTTCTTTCATCAGATATCAAAAGACTTACTACAAGAGTTGTTCATGAAAGAGAATTTCTGAATTCGACCATTTCTCCAATCAGTAACAAACAAGTTGCCATAGCTATCGAAAGCGAGACCCCATGGAAAGTTCAGTTGATCGGATCCTGAGCCACGTTCATTTGAACATCCAATCAAGCAACGAACGTCGTTGGGTCCCCATCGAACAATGCGATTATTGTTTTGATCAACAATAAACAAATAGCCATCTGCATCGACAACCACTCCTGTAGGATAGTCGAGTACAAAATTGATCGATACTCCATGACCAGCCATTGTGATTGCATCCAATTGACCGAATCGAAATAATTGAATTCTATTATTTCCAGCATCGGCAACATAGAGATTGAAATTGATGTCGACAAAGATGCCGATGGGAGAAGACAACAAATTCGATGTTGATCCAGCTGTACTATTACCTGCTAAAATCATCGATGTATTTCCATAATCATCAACTGAACATTTAACAATCAAGTGATAGTTCTTTTGAGAACAGTAAATAGTATTGTTGATGTCAAGAAAAAGTCCAGAGCATGGCTCACTAACTAAGAGTACAGTAACACGGTTGGTCATATTGAATGACCATTTGTCAATTTGACCGTTTGAGTAGCCATGGTTGATATAAATATCGCCATCAATGGTAACAAAAACACTATTCGGAAAGCTCATATTAGTAAAAATCTTTGCTATTGAACTGCCATTTCGTTCGGACAAGACGAGAATATGATCGTTTATGCGATCTGGTACGTAGACAGTATTATTAATATCTATGAAAATATCGAAATTGGACGAGGAAATCGTACTGTTGTCGACAACGGTGGTACCATTCGAATTCCATGATGCTGATGAACATAATTCAGGCTGATTAACTGATGGTGCTGTAAATTAAAACACATCTAAGAACTTTTGATGTTGTAAGGTAAGGTGCTACACAGCAATTTGCTTCTTTCAAATTGAGCATAGCTAGTCGGTTTTTATTCCTTTAAAAACAGTAATCTCTTTATTATGCAATCAAATTCGATTTTTCTGGTTCTCATCATTGATCAGCATTCTATATTCTTATTTACACAATAAATTATTAATGATCCAACTTACCACAAGACTTTCTAATGAAAGAAAACTTTTGAACTCGTCCATTCCGCCAATCAGTAACAAACAAGTTGCCATAGCTATCGAAAGCAAGACCCCATGGAAGCTTTAGTTCATCAGATCCTAAGCCATATTGTCTTGAACATCCAACCACACATCGAACACCGTTGGGTCCTGATCGAACGACGCGATTATTGTTGTGATCAACAATAAACAAATAGCCATCTGCATCGACAACCACTCCTGTAGGAAAGAAGAGTGCAAAATTGATCGATGCTCCATGACCAGCCATTGTAATTGCATCCAATTGACCGAATCGAAATAATTGAATTCTATTATTTCCAGCATCGGCAACATAGAGATTGAAATCGATGTCGACAAAGATGCCGACGGGAAAAAACAAAAGATTTAATTCTGATCCCGCTGTACCATTACCTGCAACAATCATTGATGTGTTTGCATCCTTATCTAGTGAACTTTTGACAATCACATTCTTCATCCATTGTGAACAGTAAATAGTAGTATTAATGTCAATAAAGAGTCCACTACACTCACCATCGACATACATGGCAATTGTGCTTCGTGTCGCATTCGGTGACCACTTGCGAATTCGACCTCTTGCACCATTGTCGACATAAACATCGCCATTGTAGGTGACAAAAACACTATATGGACCATTTAAATTACCAGTTATATTTCTCGTTGGAATGGAACTTCCTTCGGGCCATACTAGAACACGGTTATACCAATACACTGCCACATAAACAGTATTGTAAATATCGATAAAAATGCCGCTAGGATAGGTACCAACCGTGCTCTTATTTGTCAAGGTAGTTGCATTTGGATTCCATAATGCAGATTCACAAAATTTCGGCTGATTATAGAAGACTTCTATATATAAAAGAAGAATACAGGCAGCTCCTCAACGAATGTGAATGTTATTTTTAATGATCAAATCACAATTTGTCTAGAAAGCTCTGATTTTTAACATTAGAATCGGCTACTTTTAATACATATATAGAAAGAAATGAAATTCACATTCTTACCGGTACATTCAACGACTTTAATGATGGAAAATATGATCAGAATCCTAAAGAAGAAATCTTTTGTAACTGATAAGAACATGAACGATCGAAGAAGTATCGAATGATAAACGAGTGAAAACGATTCCGAGTTATTGAATGCCAACAGTAGAAAATGCACTCTTTTCAATTAAATCAACACTTACACATTATTCTCATTTGAAGAATAGAAATACAAAAAAAAATGACTTTAAGTCTTAGATACTCCACTCTCAAGAGGAGAAAAAAAAACACTTATTTTTCTATATTCCGTGAAGTGTTGCTATGCCATTTGGAAAATGAAGTTTTCTTTTTTTTTCTCCCTTTCTGTCATTTTATTGTCTCTAATGGTATAGCAGAGCTTGAATGAACAATCCTCATTAGGAAAGAATAAAAATTAGACAACAACTTTTTTGATAACAAAAATATATATGAGAATGTGCCCTTCATATTTTAAAGGATTTGTTTATTTATTAAATAACATGTATTTAAATAAATGCAAGAAAATGTTTATAATGAATTAATCAATTGTTATTATTTTGTTGTTGTTCTTCGACTGTAGTCATAGTCATCACTGTACGGTGTTGACGATGATGAATTTGAATTTTTCGTACAATTTTTGCCAAGATAGGAGCAAAAATTTTGAGTAAAACTGTTAATCCTCCAAATAGTCCAATAATAGTTGTTACACTATAGATTAGACTAACTCGTTCGCGAATTGAATAATTACATTGCAATGGTGCACATGATAAATAATAATGATCATAATTAACATTTGCTTCCCATTGAACAATCATTAATTTATTGATTAATGTTTGAACAGTGACACTAGATGAAGAAACTAGAGGATCAAGTGATCGAAAAGTAATATTCGAAAAATAATACATATTTTTTAGTACATTAATACATGTTATATTATAAAGACATTCAAGAGTCGATTGAAGAAGAGCTTCAAGTGCATAACAACCGACACGAAAACCAGGGACAATCGATCCATTAATAGTAGCCGATGATGTACACATTGCATTTGTAGCACATGAACAATTATTATTCTCACCATAGAATCGTGATTGACTCCACAATGAATCAGATTTAACATTTCGATTTAATGCAAAAAAATACCAATTCGACATTGTTGATGAAACAATACCATTACCTTGTGCTATCGACCGAACAGCATCGAGTATACGTAAAAATGTTCGTGGTGTTGATATACGAAATTGAACAATAGTAGCATTAGCTTGTTGTTCAATATTTTCACGCGATTGTAAATGTTTACTAACAAATGTATTTGAATAAAAACGAATTAATTCATTGGATAATGTCTCATTCGCTAAAGTACATAATGAAATAAGCCATTGAAATTGAGATACAATAAATAATCGATAATCGATATAGGAATAAATAAGAGTAGCTTGAGAAAAATAAATTTGATTAAGCCATATTGATGAATTTAAAATAAAATCACTCGAACAAAATTGATGATAATCCATTTTTATTTTAATAAATGATTTGTATTCAATAGAAATATTTTGACATGGACAATTTAATGTAGAAGAATATTTCGGATTTTTTTGTAAATCTTTAAATTGTACTAAAGATGGATTATTAATGATAATTGATTGTGTTTGAATAATTAATAATGTATAAATGATTAGAATATTTATTGAAATACTAAGGCAAAGAATATAGATACGAGTACCAAGAATTTCTGTACGAATATGATATTCATTATTCCATGTTGCTTCATTTTCGAATATATTGAATTTCAATAATTTATTCTTCAATGATTTCCATACACATCGTATGTGATCGATCAGTCGAAGAGGACGATCTATAAGGAATAAAATAATAAACAGATATGAAACATATCTTATGCATATAACATACTTGTTTGTGTGTTAGTTGGAGGTGAGATTTTCGGTCGCATACGATTACGTAAAATACCAACAATGATCGGTAAGATTATTCTCCATGCAATGGAAAGTCCACCGAATAAACTAACTAATATTGTTATCACATACAATGGATTAGGACGTGATAGGAATGTATATGAACACAATTTTGTTGCACATTGATTAAAGTATTGATCATATTGAATATGATGACCCCATTGTTCGATCATAAGTGAATCGAGTAATACATCAATCGGTGTTTCAGGTAAAAAACGAGTATTACTCGCATTTAAAATAGGTATTTCTAAAGATTCTGTTGATATAATATACCATTGAACAATATCTAAACAGGATTGATTAAAAAAACATTCAAGTGATGATTCTAGAACACCTTGAATGATTGAACAACTAATAAATAAATTTGGTATTTCAAATATAAGTTGTCCATCATCATAGGTGTATAAACCGATCGATTTTTTACATTGATTATTAATTGCACATGAACAATTGTCAATAATTATTGGTAATGAAGAAAATTCAATACGTGTATCATTATTATTTACATGTGAAGTAGAAAATTTTGTATTATAATCTCCTAAGAACATACCATGATTATGTGTTGAAATTAATTTACGAAGACGTTTAAATTCAGCTACTGTATTTCGAATAAATTGTTGTAATGTTGCATTAGATCGATCGATTAATTCTTCATAGGATAATGTTTGACTAGTGATCAATGATGATCGATTAAAAATTTGCCAAGCATTAGACAATGTATTTTGTATTAATGAACATAACGTAGCTAATGTATTAAAAAAATATGGACCAGATTCTTCAAATTTTACTGTAGGATATATATCAAGTGGAAATCTTCCACGTGTTGAAATAATCCATTCATCGGATATAAATAAACTTGAACATACCGGATGATATTCAGGTGAAAATGAAATAAATGAACCATAGGGTATTATTATTTGATTACATGGACATTTCAATGTTAATGGATATTTTTTAAATATATTTTCATAGACTACTTTTGAAGGATTTTCTATTGTTACAACTTGTTTCTCAACTTTCGATGCTGTATATATAATAAGAATTATAATCGATAGAAAGAGAACAAGAAGATAAATACGAGTCGTTATTCTTGATGTAGTCAATTCATATGAATCATGACGTGTTATAGGAGTCTTGAATAAATTAAATTCAATCATCTGTATTCGTATCCATAACCATAGGGTATAAATACGTTCAGTGAGAGATCTATCTAAAGGAAAAAAAAACGAGAATTATGTTAATATACAGTGCACAATAACTCATTTTTCCTCTTTCCTATTCTTTTTTGATAGTCAGTGTATTGCATGAAACTACTAAGAAACGTTATATATCGATTAGAAATAGCAAATAAATTTCAGAGAAGAATAAAACATGCGTCAAAATAAAAGATGTTTTTTGTTCAAGAGAGTCATAAAAATGCCGATGCCGAATAAAACATTTCTGGATATCTTTCGAATTGATGGAAGAATATTCATAACAATACTTTTGAGTCGGTGAGTGGGTGTAAATGCAGGTGAAAAAAAACACACACACCCCACCATGAATTGATGCATGGCTGTGTAGTAGTGAGACTTACTTGTATTAACATTTGTTGAATGTCTCGGTCGATTCGTACGTGTACGCCACCAACCAATTGTATGTGATGCAAGAAGACGAAGAACAACAGTAAGTCCACCATAGAGACCCAACAATTTCGTTATTACGTATAATGCATCATTACGTCGTATGAAAGTGTACGTACATGAAATGGGCTCACATTGTGCATAATATGATGAAAATGATCTTATTGTTGTCCAGTCTTCAACAAATAATTCATTGACTAACCTTTCGATAGGATCTTGTGGATGAAATCGTGTTTCACTATTATTTAAGCTATGAAATGTGGTATTGATCGATAAAGAAAAGAACTGTAGCACTGTATTGAAACAAGATGAATCAAAGAAACATTCAAGTGTTGATCGAAGAACTGATTCAATAGGATAGCATCCAGCTACGAAACCGGTCACATTACCCATGGGTTGTGTAGTCGTTCTATATGAACCATAAATAGGAAGGGCATAAACAAAAGGCAGATAGAAAGTCGAGGGCAAGAAGCATGTTGCTCCAAGATTACAATAGCAAAAATTTCTTCTAATATCAACAAAAGAAGGACCCCATGAAAATACAGATGCTGTATTATTAATGTCGAGTTGGAAAAAATACGATCGAGATGTTTGTAATGCAGTTTGTAATCGATTACTGTAAGTGGTCGAACGTAGGAGACGTAGTAGATTTTGAAAAATATTTGCTGTTGATATTTGTACAAAAAAACTTTGTGTTCGAATTTGTTCATCGAATTGTAAACGTGAGAAAACATCTGGTGTTAAAAAATTAGCCGAAAGAAAGTCATCAATTGCATCCGATACTGATGTCAAAGAAAGAGAACAAAGCGATGC